AGAGAAGAGAGAGAGAGAGAGAGAGAGAGAGAGAGAGAGAGGAGAGAGAGAGAGAGAGAGAGAGAGAGAGAGAGAGAGAGAGAGAGAGAGAGAGAGAGAGTCAGACTCCTAAACGGAAATAGAATAGATGCATAGCACACCCATTCTGAGCAGGAAATAAATGTTTTTATGCGTGTATATGAACAAAAATATTGTTGTACACTTTGACCCATGACGTAAGGTGGATGACACATATGGTTAATATAGTGTGCTATGGTGTGATAAATGTTAAGGCCGTTAATATTCACGAACACAATAAACTTTACAGTGTATTCTATATTGTGTATAAACTTTCATTCCAAATATTTTAGGATGAAGTGTTTGATATCGCATATATACAGTGGTGTGTGTGCGTATTCTCTGATATGAACTATAATACAAAGCTTGCATTCTGTAACAAAGCTTTAGTACAGTGTTTAGATTAATGTGACTTACATTCATGTTGGCATACAGTGTGTACTAAGCAGGAAGTGCAGGATGTACACTATCTTTATGGAGATGTATGCAGTGAACATTACACAATAAGAGGAATAACAGATAACAGACAGAATGTGAGGCTCAATATACTCCATAAGGACAGTTATTTACTATGTTAATTAAAACAGGGAGTACGCCATTAAAACAGATAGTATGCAATACCGTACAGGCCATGATAAGAGGTAATAAGGGGGGGGACATTAGATGAATATATAAACACAGCGGAAAAGCATAATTAAGTAGGCTGCGTAATATTCAGCTTGATGAAGACTAGAAAAAATATATATATGAATAGGATGGACATCACACGGAATTCAACCATAAATAAAAAAGGAAGACCGTGTTTAAAAACGAAAGATAGAGAGACAGGGGGAAAAATGATGAAAACAAATTGACATTCAATCTGAAATTTTACATCAGCGCCGACAACCCAGCATGCCCATAACTCCAAGATGAAATTGCAGCATTCATAATGAAACAAAGAGACGGGACAAAGCAGGACGCAACTTGTTCAGTTTCAGATGATGAGAGATTTGCGTTCAATCAAGAAGACAGAGAACAGAGCAGGCAATCTCATTGGGCAACTTAAGGTGAGATGCAGGTAATGGGCAATGGGAGAACTCGTCTTAAAAAAAACGAAAATAAATAAACAGAAGAAAAATACAATTCAAATCATCCATCTGGTAGAAACTCAGAAATGCTCGCCATAAAAGTCGAAAATAAATAAACAAAATGAAGGAAAATACATTTCAAATATTCTCTATGGGATAAACCCAACAAAACCCGCCTTAAAAATCGAAAATAAACAAGAAAATGAAGAAAAAATAATAAGTCAATTCATCCATTTGGGAGAAACTCAAAAAAACTCGTCTTAATAAATGAATAAATAAATAAATAAATAAAATAGTCAAACCAAAAAGCTGTAAAATGCAGTTCCAATCATCCACGTGGGATATATCCATATCAGAATAATTGAAGCTGAATCAATTATACTTTAAAGTAGAGACCCATAAGCTATTTCCTAGTCGATTCTGAACATGATTCTGAACTTGGGAATAGAAAACCATACAGTATAGTAAATCAGAGGATGTAGAATCATAAAGAATAGAGAATTATACAGGATACAGAATCATAAAGAACAGAGAGCCATACAGGACAAAGAACCATGCAAAATAAACTACCATGCAAGATAGAGAACCACGCAGGAGAGAGAACCATAGAGGATAAGCTACCATACAAGCTAGAGAACCATATAGGATAGAGAACCATACAGGATTGACAACCATACAGGACAGTCGACCATATAAGGTACAGAAACGCAAGGGGCATACAAAAAATAAATAAATAAAACAATAAAAAAATAAAACACCCAGGATAAAGAACCACATGGGATAGCGAACCATACAGAATAAAGAACCACAGTATTGGGTAGACAACCATGTAGTATAGAATACTATACAGTTTAGAAAACCATACAGGGTAGAGAACCATACAGGTTAGACAGTCATAGATTGTAGACAACTGTACATGATTGGAAACCATCCAGGATAGGAATGCAGAGTAGAGAACCATACAGAGTAGATATAAAACTGTACAGGGAACCATAAATGAATACCATATCGTATAGAGAACCGTTTGTAATAGAGAAATATACAAGAAAGGTAACCATACAAACTTGAGAACCATATAGGGCAGAGAACCATACAAGTTACACAACCATACTGGACAGACGACGGCGCAGAATAGAAAAGCATGAGGGATAGAGGGCGTATAGGGCAGAGGAGCACACAGGATAGGCAACCATACAAGCTAAAGAACCATGTAGGTGAAAGACCCACACAGGTTTCAGACAACCATACCGGGTGCTTACCTGGTACCGGTAGGACAAAGGGCCCCCAGTCACGTTGATACTAGGGTGATGGTGACCTGCAACTCCCAGGGTGAACACTACACTGTGCCCCGTGTTGTTGATGACCCCGCTCACCTGCAAGACAAAGGGATTTTGTAGGAAAAGTAGGTATATGTATATAGGTATATGAGGTATATGTATATAGATGAGGTATATGTATATAGTATGTATATAGGTATATGAGGTATATATATATGAGGTATATGTAGGTATATGTATATAGGTATATGAGGTATATGTATATAGGTATATGTATAGGTATATATATGTATATAGGTATATGTATGTGTATAGGTATATGAGGTATACGTATATATATTAGGTATATGTATATATGTATATAGGTATATGTATATAGGTATATGAGGTATATGTATATAGGTATATTATATAGGTATATGTATATGTATAGGTATATGAGGTATATGTATATAGGTATATGAGGCATATGTATATAGGTATATGAGGTATATGTATAGGTACATGAGGTATATGTATAGGTATATGAGGTATATGTATAGATATATGAAGTATATGTATAGTTTGGTATATGTATAGGTATATATATATAGGTATATGTATATAGGTATATGAGGTATATATATATATATGTATATGTATATGTATGTATAGGCATATACGGCGTAACACTTCGTCCACTCCCAGAAAAGGATAAAAAGCATCTCATTACTGATTCTGGGGAACACCGATTCGCCAAGCGGCTTTTGAAAAGAAGAAGAATGATAATAAAGTGGTGTTATGCAATAAAACTAATGTATATGAATAAAAAAAAAAAAAAAAAAAAGCAAGCGCACATCTCTCTTTCACAATCTCCGTTTTTAACGAATCTTTCTGACTTTATTCCAAGCCAGTCTTTTTTTAAGCCTTTCTACGTCCTCCCTTCTTCCTTCTCTTCTGTTTATCCCCCTCCCTTCTTCCTATCCCCCTCCTCCTTCCTTCTCCGTCCCCTGCTTATCCTCTTCTCCTTCTCCTTTTAAGTGTCAGCTGATTGAATCACAAAAGTGAAGGCGAATCGGAGTGTCCCAGAGTCCGGGTTGAGTTGCCAGTTTGTCATTTCCCGAAATTGGATGCACCGTCGTTGTGGTTTGGGATTTGCTCGCCTGCTGTTTGGGTTGTGGTATGACGCCTGCTGTGTAAGGCATGTGGACTGTGGTGTTGATGTTTTGGTAGCAACTAATGTAAGGTATGTAATATATATATATAATATATATATATATATATATATATATATATATATATATATATTATATATATATATATATATATATATATATATATATATATATATATATATATATGTATATATATATATATATATATATATTATATATATATATATATATATAATATATATATAATACACACACACACACACCACACACCACACACACACACACACACACACATATATATGTATATTATATATATATATATATAATATATATATATATATATATGGTGTGTGTGTGTGTGTGTTATATCTCAAATGTAGAAAGATATTTTCTAGATATGACCTGTGTAATGGTGGGACTTTGTGCCCACTACTACTTGGCTGTGTGATTAAGTTTACAATACTCATTGCTTATATCTTTGTGATGACAGCCCTCGATACTATTCTTTGTGGTGAATAAAGTACCCTCGTTATGGCTGCGTCTCGGAAACATTATGCATTGCGGTGGAATAACGAGGCGAACCCGACCAGCACTGGGGGTAAGATCGCCGCAGCCGTTCCTCCGATGGCGAGCGCGAGAGGGCGACGGCGAGGCCAAAAGGGGATAATTCCTCCCCTCGCCGGCGCGTGCAAACAACGCCGGCCGTGTTTACCCCCAAAAGAGGAATCATATTGCCTCTGTAACAATTGATAGCTCCATCACGACCTACAGTTTAAAACGTCACATCGCAGCTGCCGGGCGTGAGAAGAATGATGAGATCGACCAACAAAAGTAAGGCTGGCTGACGGGCGCTCACGGCAGAGCAACAGAGCGCCTGTGACTGACAGCCGGCGACAGGACCAATAACAGTGTGAAAAGAATTAAAACATCAGCAGCCCGTCTGTCAAAAGCCCTGTATGATATCCGTCCGATGGAGTGACAGACGCATGCACCATACGCACACGCGCGCACACGGATGAGGACACACGTGCACCAATGCTCACTTGAAATCTTTGCTGCTCCACACAGACGGGCAGACAGACAGGCATACTAAAGGACAAATACACGGGTATACAAACGCACACACTGGTACACACACGCACGCGCGCTCGCTTCTGTAGTCAAACAAGCAAACAAACAGACAAACATGTGTTCTGAATTTTCCTCTCCCTCTTTTATTTACCTTTTCAATTACCAGTTTTGTTTTGAAACTTTCTTAGACTTTTTCTCTTTTTTATCACGCCTCGCGCCACGTCTCTCTTTCACGCCCTCCTCTCCTTTCGAGAGTCTCCTTCCGACTTTTTCCCGTCTCTCTCTTTCTAAGCCTTGCTAAGTCGTCCCTCCTTCCTTCTCCTGTCTTCTGCTTATCCCCCTTTCATATTCTAAGCCTTCCTATTCTTTATCCCCCTCTTCCTTCCTTCTCCTTCTCCCCTCCTCCTCCTTCCTTCTCCGGCTCCTGGTTATCCACTTCTTCCCTTCCTCAGTCTCTTGCTTATTGCCTTTCCCTCTTCTAAGTTTCCCGCCTATCTCCCTTCCGCCCCCTTTTTCATCTCCCTCTACATTCTTCTTCTCCCTTTCTATTATATCTTTCTCGCTTATTGTCTCCTCCTCGCCTCCTCTCCTTCACCCTCCCTGGGCTCATCGTCTTAAGCATGTTCATTATCGCGCCCTCACGGACCCTTCATTGTGCCATGAACATACAGAGGCCAATGGTGTCAGCATCCCCGGTGTCAAGACTAGCCGAGCACAGGCCAGACTACACTCCGCTCGCATTCGATATTCCTTTACGGTCCTGGAGTTGCTTAGCCTGGTTTAGCCTAGACTAGATCCGAGGAAGATAAACTAGGCCTCTCTAGTCACTTAACCCGCTGACGTCTGTAGCCCGAGCCTTGCTTAGCTTAGCCTAGCCTACCATAGCATAACCTACAGTAGACTATCACGGCATTACCCGCGATACTCTTTCAAGGAATGATCAACTGTGCCATTCCCTTAATCTATATATATCAACAGTAGCCCTGGCCTTACTCAACCCAACCAAGCCTCTACTGCCCAAGCGATAGCCATGTTACCTAACTCTTCCAGGTAGCTATTTTGTCATACATTACAATAATCATTTTTTAAGGAAGATAAGCTCGACGTTAATCTGTGTTTATGGCGTGATCCTCACTCTAACTGGGGAAGGTGTTATGAGGGGGGGTGGCTGTTAACACGGGGCTATGGCGTGTGTTGCTGTGGAGGGAAGAGAGCGCTGTCTGGCTCTGTTGATGCAAGCGTCGAAATTAGATCACTGATATGGTGTCGTAATGAACATGGGGGGTGGGCATCAGGGATGGTTTTTCATCTGAATTTATTTTTCAATGTGTTTTTCTCGTTTTCTTTGTTGTGCTTATTGGAAAATGATTATGATCTGTCTGTCTATCTGTCTGTCTGTCTGTCTGTCTCTCTCTCTCTCTCTCTCTCTCTCTCTCTCTCTCTCTCTCTCTCTCTCTCTCTCATACACACACACACAAGAGATAATATATATATATATATATATATATATATATATATATATATATATATATATATATATATATATATATATTATATATATATATATATATATATATATATATATATATATATATATATATATATATATATATATATATATATATACATATATGTATTATGTGTGTGTGTGTGTGTGTATATATATTTACATATAAATATGTATATATATATATGTCTGTGTATGTACATATATATATATATATATATATATATATATATATATATATATATATATATATATATATATATATATATATATATATATATATATATATATATATATATATATATATATATTATATATAATATATATATATATATATATATATATATATATATATATATATATATATATATATATATATATATATATATATATATATATATATATATATATATATATATATATATATATATATATATATGAAAGATGGAAACAATGCACTACCGCATTTTTATCATGAATATATAAACCTCACACACACACACACACACAAGCACACACACAACACACACACACTCACACACAAACACACACACACACAAACACACACACACACACAAACACACGCACACACAAACACACACACACACACACACATATCTGTACCTCGATGATATTGAAGTCTGTTCAAGGAACCCTCGATCTTTTGTTGTCTTAAAACAATATAAAAGGAAGGAAGGAAGGAAGAGTAAGGAGAGAAGGAGGAGGAGGAAAAAAGGAAGAAGACAAAGGAGAAATAGAAGAAGAATAAGAAAGAAGAAAAGAAAAAGAAGAAGAAGAAATAGAATAAGGAACAGAAGAAGAAGGAAGATACGAAAACCAGTATTGGTAAATTCATGAGTATAAACGTAAAAGAAACATCATCTTTTGCCTCTGGGACTTATAGATCAAGTGAAGTCAAGTCAAGTTTTGAATTCATACAAAAGAAGAACAAATTACAAGAACACTAAGACCAAAGAGCAAAAGAAGAAGAAGACAACAAGTAAACTACAACAGCAGTGTCTGCTTTTACACAAGGTTAAGAAATGAAAAACAAACAAAACAAATGAAATAGAAAAAGAAAAACGGAGAAATAAAAACTTATAAACTGCTCTTAAACCAAGTTATATAAAATAAATAAAAACAAAAATAAATTAACAAACAAATGATAATCTTAAACATTCAGTTAACTACATCAAAAGTAACTATTGCAGTTAACGGCTGACAAATATGGTACCAAAGTTAATAGCCATAAATAATTTCAGTTGCGTTAGATATGAATAGATGAATAGTTAGATTCATTTATTAGTTAATGAGTACGTTAATTAGTGAAAGGAACTGACGAGTAAATGTGTTAGAAATGAATG